GTGGTGTAGAAGCTGGTTTCATTTTGGCTCAGAACTTCTCCTTTTTAGTGACCTCTCATTTTCCTGGCACATAAGTAAAATTTGTCTGTTTATAGGTTGACCTTTTGTTCAAGGAGTTATACATTTCTAACACAAAGAGGTGAGCACTGTTAGCGTGTTATGGAGATGGATTTACAATGTTATCATTGCATATTTAGTGAACATGGAAACATATTTCTTACCGAATCCTGTTTCTGTATTGACAAACTAATCTCTGTTCAAATGTGTAAGTAATTTGAAGATAAGCTATCATTTTAGCTCCTTCTCCACAATTTCTGGACTTTGAAGAATGGAGTTAGAGGTGTACCATGAAAGGAGATTTGACTTTAAATGTTGCTTGTTACTACCTTCTCAAATATCTGAGAAATGGAATACATGATACTGAGACAGTGTAGTTAAAAATTAAATATGGTACCAGCACAGTTGCTGTCACATGTGCTAGTGAAAGGAAAGCTGGTCATGGGTTAGTTTCTGATCCTCAGATACTTCTTGCTCAATCTTAGCACCAAAGTCTGAGCTATTTATGAGATTCCTTCTTGGGGATCTAATGAGCAGAGGTAACTTGCACTGCTTCTGACTACGTTTGGCACGGCTTGCAGCTTTCTAGAGAAAAAGAATCTGAAAGGCTGGCTGCTTCTGTGCAACAATGATGCTTCAGCACAGCCTAAAGCTGTGTTTTCTGCTGGTTTTTAACAGTTCGTGAGAGATACGGTTGCCTTAGCTGTATAGGAATTGCTTTCAGACTTCATTTTTTTTTTAATTGTAGGCTAACATAGACCTTCTGTAGTGAGGAGCGGTTTCTTTAAAACTGGTAGGGAGATAAAGATAGGCTCTGTTTTAAGATACTCCTGACTTTTGCATCCTCTTCTAAATTTAGTGATTAAAGTATAGTTCCCTGACTTGGAGGTTTGCCTTCTTGCATTGACTGTTAAGTTCAGTTTACATACAGTTGAAGTCCTAGGAAGGAATTTACGTTTGGGAACTATTATTTGGGTCAAATTGGGAATAGTGAATCAAACCTTTGTTTATTTTATAAAGTCTTGAACAAGAGAATTAAACCTTTCCATACACAGTTGCAAAGTTTCCAAGACACTTGTATTTTCCTTTTATTAGGGAAAAATCTCTTAAAACACGTTTCAGATATAAAATGCACAGTGTGCAGTCTAAGACTCAGAACTTATTTTGGAGACCTAGAGTTAACTTACCACATTCTTCAAGCCAATTAATTTAGTAAAATAGCAGAAAATTGAGTGAGGGGATGGGAGCATGTGGTGAGGGCCATAGTGAGAGGGAATCAGAGCTTCCTCTTCTGGCAGCAAAGCTCCTGTTGACTCTCTGGCTGTTGTTAAAGTGTAACTCTTAGTATCCTGGGTTTATTGCAGAAGTTACTTTCTTAGTGTGCTGAAAGTTCATTTCCCTCTGAAATGGAAGCAAAGGAGAGGTGGAACAGATAGAAATACTGGGGTTATCATAACTTTTTCATATATTATTTTGAAAAGCATCACTTATTTCCACTTGGATATGTTCTTGAAGATTTCTTAATGGCACTGAATCATTCTTTGAAAAGACTGAAGGCCCAAATATAATGGAAGGTCCAACAGGAAGCATTCATTAAGTGGTCTTCTAAAGAAGGCAGCTGTAAATATGAATTAATTAATATTGACAACACAGTCAGGTGGGTGGAGGGATGAGATTTGCTAGAACTCAGCGTATTAAAAAGCTTGTTAAATTTCATGGTAGAAAGTAAACTTTAATGCTTTACCGTTCTATGGAAAACAGAGTAAAGCAATTTGCTGTCAGCTCTGTTTTCTTTATTACAGTACCGTTGTGCTTGTGGGTTTGGTGTAAGATGGACTTAAGCTGGGTTTTCAACTCTGGTTTCCATTTGTATTTGCCATAAAAGTCTGCATATATATTTAGTGGGTGTAGTCTGTTCTATTTAAGGGAAAGTAGTTGTTTTGAGGCTATTATCTGCATGTGTTTGTTTTAAGAATCATAATCAGAGGAGGAATGCAACTTCCTTTTCCATTTGGTTGGATGTTACTAGCTTTTTTTTGGTAGAAATGTGTTGTTGCATAGTTTTCCTTGCTGTACATATCTCCTGGGGAAAAATCACCTTGTCCTTTATAGAGTCTTATCATGTGGATTGCTTAGACTTCCCCGGACATCATAGAGCATGCAGAGTTGCAAAACCACCCTGAACACTGCGACTTCTGTGTTAATGAGTGGATATTTTGCTGCGTGTTCATGAAGACCGCTGTGAGTTCAACTCTGAAGCCGTCATTTCCCCTTCTGCAGTGTGTAATTTGAGTCTTCGATGTCATTTGGCACATTAAAAGATTGGTCTGTGCAGTGGTGGTTCTGCCATGGATTAGAGTGGTTTACATAGAAACTCTTGATAGCTTTTTCAGATTTTGGCAATTCTTGTGAAGGAATTAAGTAAGATTTTTAGTTGTGTTCCTGAGGTAGATGATAGGAGCATGTGTGTGGTTTGGGGTTTTCTTTTTACAGCAAATAAAAGGAGAATTTGGCTTTTTTCTGAGTACTTTTAAAGCGGTCACTGTTGTAAGAGTTTTGACTAGCGGACTCCAGTTTATGCCTCTTGCATTCCAAGGTAAGAGGATGGGTTGGATGACTTCCTGACTCCCAGAATAGGCTATCACAGCTCCGACTCCTGCTGGCCTTGGTCTCCTATTTTTGACTCACCCTCTTTTTATATTGCTAGTGTTCTGCATTGGAAAGGTTTAGTTATAGTTTTTCATTTTTATCTATCTCCTCATGGACTTACAAGGGAAAATGGGTTTGATTATGTAAATGATTATTTCTCTTTAGCTGAACTAGTCTCTTGTCCCCTCACATCTTCTGAAGTTATTTAGTAGAGGAGTAGATTGCTCTCTGTAAAGGCAAACCAGGGATATACTTCAGTTGAATTTGAGCTATGTATAGAGTGCCTGGCTAGAATTATCCCTGAATGATGCTTTCCATGCAAAGCAATGGCTAGGTAATAAGGGAGCTTAATTCTTATCTGTAACCCTTTTTCTGTAGGATAAATCTACAGTAGCTTAAAGATATCTAACTGCTAAATACCAAAATATTTAACATTTCAAATTTTTGCACCTTTCTGATTTTAGACAGGAATATCACTTCATATAGTTAACTCGTCAAAGTGTATAGAAGAATGTGGCTGCAGTGATTAGAGTTCAAAGTTAAATGTTACAAAAAAAAATAATTCACCACTCAAAATGTTAAGCGACTTGGAATGTTCTTTAAAAAGTTGTGATGTTAAAGGCTCTTATGAGAAAACCATTCAGTACATGAAAACTTTCCTAAAAACTGATAATATTAGATCAGCTTTTAAGAATTTGCTGTATGCTTTGACTAAATACCAGACACATGAGATCATAAGAGCCTTTAGTTTTAAACTGTATTCATTGCTTATATGAGTAATCACTAAGAAAAGTTTTTCAGGAAGCCGGGTTATGGGATTTCTTAACTCTCTAATGCCAAAATATTTCTTAAAAAATAATGTGATAAATTTAGCTATATTATGGTTTGGTTTCTTTAACTAGTAAATGGTAATTAACTGGTGGCCTAAGTTAGAGAACTTTCCAAAAAGAAGTTCTTGCAGAATCAATTTGCAAGTCCACTATTCCGCAGCATGGCGGAGTTCATTCCAACTCATTTCTGAATGCATTAAATGGGAAACTGGATGGTGTTCTTCAGAGAGCCACAGCTGAGCCACTGTCAGTGGGAGAGGGAAAGGTTTCTGATTTAACAAAGCAGACCATTTGCTGTGCTGATGTTACTGGACCTTTGGTCTGGTGGTGTTTGATAACTGTAAGGAGCTGACTGGCATTTTATACATATACTAATATGCTCTGTATGCAAAATGGGCTCTAAAAAAAATATATCTGTGAGATAACTTGTTGGATAGTAGCTACAGAAAGATACTGATTACTCTGGTCAATGCTTGCTTTGAAAAATCTGAGTGGGGATGCTGTTTGCATTATAACATGCATAGCATGGTCTCTGGAAGGCTAAACTCAGCCTCAGTCATCTATGAGCACTGCTGGACACAAATACTCTCTCGTTTGAAACCCGTTGACTTTTCTGAAGCTACAGCAGAATCAGCCTGTGGGCTTTCACCCTGCACAGGAAGAGCTCCTTTAGCTTATTCCTCTAGGTCAGAAATAACGGTTGTCTGAAGAATTATGGACATTCTCCCAGTTTATAACAAGTGTCTCGGATTCTCTGAACGCTAGGCAGCTGGCAGTAGAAATCTTCTTATAAGAGTGGTTTGAGAACCTATTTTGAAAACTGATCCTGGTGGTGTTCTGCAGTGCAGCTGCAACCTTTAAGGTAGTTTGAAAAAACTCAATAACAAAAAAAAAAAAGGGCAGAGTTTCAATATACAAACAATGTGACTGTCATGAAAACAGTACTCCTTTAGGATATACACAGTAATTGGGTGGTTTTATGTGTAAACAGTTTAGTTCTATGTTGTGTACAGTATTCACATGTCCATCGTTCTCCGGATGTGTGTGTGTGGAGGAAGAAGGGGGCATTTTTGTGAAATCATTCTACAAATGTTCTATATTAGGGGAGGCGGATTTCCTAATGGAGGCCTTAATTGCTTGGAGCTTTAAGAGGAAATATCTGTGGCAGGAATTGCTGGTGATAGTCTACACCGAGCAGTGTATTTTTCCAAACAATTGAGTTTTACACAGGGTTTCTTCTCTATATTTCTTCTCCTGCATGTCAGAAGGATGACAAGTTTCTCTTAACTTAAGAACACATAGTTAAGAGTTGATAAAGTTAAGGACATTCCAAATAACGAATTCTACTGCACTTTCAGATATAATAAGTTATCTTTATAGTTCATAAGCGTGGCTCACGCAGACGATATTTTGTGTAGGGTGTGTACTAGTAACTCTCAGAGTTCATGATACAGTATTAAAGATGCACAATTAGAATTTGTGCCATACCTATTTTTTTCCCCTTTCCTAACACCTCCTAATAAAGCTACATTTTTCAGTGTTGCGTAGCAGAGTTAGCTGGCCAATGAGTAGGATGTGGGCCCTCTTCGGAAGGAAACGCAAGAACTGGTTACCCGGGACAGAGACAGAGCTGAGGTCCTCAACGACTTTTTTTGCCTCAGTCTTCACTGGCAAGGACTGCAGCCGCACTGCCCATGATGCAGAATGTAAAGGCGAGGATTGGGAAAATGAAGAACCGCCCACTGTAGGTGAAGATCAAGTGCGAGACCACCTGAGGAACCTGAAACTGCACAAGTCCATGGGACCCGATGAGATACATCTGCGGGTCCTGAGGGAACTAGCAGATGAAGTCGCTAAGCCATTAGCCATCATATTTGAGAAGTCGTGGCGGTCTAGCAAAGTTCTTGCCAACTGGAAAAGGGGAAACATAACCTCTGTTTTCAAAAAGGGAAAGAAGGAAGACCCAGGGAACTACAGACCCAGGGAACTACAGGCCAGTCAGTCTTACCTCTGTGCTTGGCAAGATCATGGAGCAGATCCTCCTGGAAACTCTGCTGAGGCTCATAGAAAACAAGGAGGTGATTGGCGACAGCCAGCATGGCTTCACCAAGGGCAAATCATGCCTGACAAATTTGGTGGCCTTCTATGAAGGGGTTACAGTGGCAGTTGACAAGGGAAGATCAACGGATGTCATCTACCTGGACTTGTGCAAAGCATTTGACACTGTCCCACACGTTATCCTGGTCTCTAAATTGAAGAGACATGGATTCGACAAATTGACCACTCGGTGGATAAAGAATTGGCTGGATGGTCGCACTCAAAGAGTTGTGGTCAACGGCTCGATGTCCAAGTAGAGAGCGTGACAAGTGGTGTTCCTCAGGCGTCAGTACTGGGACCTGTACTATTCAACATTTTTGTTGTAAACATGGACAGTGGGGTCGAGTGCACCCTCAGCAAGTTTGCCGATGATACCAAGCTGTTTGGCGAGGTAGACACACTGGAGGGGAGGGATGCCATCCAGAGGGACCTGGACAGTCTGGAGAGATGGGCCCAAGCCAACCTCATGCAGTTCAACAAGGCCAAGTGCAAGGTCCTACATCTGGGTCGGAGCAATCCCAAGCACAAATACAGGCTGGGTGGGGAATGGCTGGAGAGCAGCCCTGAGGAGAAGGACCTGGGTGTGCTGATTGACCAGCTCAGCATGAGCCAGCAATGTGCGATCGCAGCCCAGAAGGCCAACCGGATCCTGGGCTGCATCAAAAGAAGTGTGGCCAGCAGGTCAAGGGAGGGGATTCTGCCCTTCTACTCCACTCTCATGAGACCTCTCCTGGAGTACTGCATCCAGGTCTGGAGTCCCCAACATAAGGACATGGACCTGCTGGAGCGTGTCCAGAGGAGAGCCACGAGGATGATCCGAGGGCTGGAGCACCTCTCCTATGAGGACAGGCTGAGAGAGCTAGGGCTGTTCTGCTGGAGCAATATGTTAGGGAATAAGACACAGTTTGTGGCTTTTCTATGGAAGAGGCAATTTCATGGTAATTGTGCCGTCTTCTTCCTCCTGAATATCCTGTCTAAGGTCATAGTTGTTAGTGATTGAGGCTGACTTGCGCTATCTATCCATGATTACCTTTCCTGTATTCTTAGAAGTATCTAAGTGTATTATTCCCCTCCCTCAGACCCTCAAATACTGTTGCATGGGGCAAATAATTAATGTATATACATCTGTAAGGAACAGTGGAGGCTTCCTAAGCTGCCTTTTTGGTACCTGTATGCTGCCATTTCCATAGTATCTTGAGTTTGTACTGCAAGCTAACAGGAGGCTGAATAATGAATGGAAGAGCTTGAAAAGCTGTGTGTTCACATATTTCATTTAATTGAAAATTAACTAATTTTGCTTTATTGCAGGCATTTGGAAATGCCAAAACGGCACATAACAATAACTCCAGTCGTTTTGGGAAGTTTATTCAAGTCAACTATTTAGAGAATGGTATTGTCCGAGGGTAAGTACAGTATGTCATTCTTCTGGGGTTGATCTCTGTGCTTTTAGGAGTTGGTGAAGAATCTGTTGTGTATAATGCTGCCTTATTGAGGCTCTTCTTGTGAGAATAGCTTGCCAATGTGGAGTTTTCAAGACTCTCTAACTGAGCTTTCTGGAATAAGCAAGCGATGCGTAATTTTCTTACCTTCCTGTACAGCCGTATCAGTTAAAGAATTTGACATGCTGCTGCATCTTTACCTTCATGTTAAATGAAGGCTTTCTCTGTAACACGTCCTCTCCATTTTGTGATTAAAAACAACAGATCTGAATTTTTAAGAGGATTTGGAGTGAAGTGAAATAGATTTGAGGAAGCTGTTTTAAAGAAACAGTTTAAACAGCAGTTAGAGAAAGAAAACTATAAAATTATGATTTAATTTGACATTTGAAATTGCATTCTTCTATCTGAAGGACAAACATGAAATATTCTATACCTACACTTATTTTTAAGTGTATGATAGTCACAGGTGAGTCTTAGAATTCTCTTTATATTTTTCACCCTGTAGTAGATGCTATAATGTCATATTACTGTAGTCCCTCAATATTATTAATCAAAGATGATGCTTCCCTCCTCTTTAGCAGTGGGCACTTTCACTTCAAGTGAAGAATTTTGGTTAGAAATTAGTAATTTGTGTGCAAATACATGCGTAGTTACTTGTCTAACACCATGCCAAAAAGATCATTTCTTTCAGATCTTGCTTTGTAAAATGCACCTTAAAAATTTAACACTTACTGCTGCAAAATTTGCAGCAGTATGTCACACATGTTGGCAAGATGTACCTGTGCTAGTTTAGCTGCAATGTCATAACACATAGTTTTGTTACAGATTTTTGCCTGAAGCTTGCTGCGCTCTGGGGTGTCACTAGCTCTCACTGACTTTTGTGCTCCGGTGTCTTTCCTTTGGATCTTCTTCGTGTTTGCAGTTTACGAAATGACAGTAACATATATGGCTGGGAGCTCTGTACCACATCTGCTTTGAGTGTTTTTCTGAAAACAATTGGCATCTTTTCAGATGAAGTTGCACTAGCTCAGGCCACTGGTACAACTCAAATACATTTGTTTTGTCTCAGCATGAGGAGAAGCTGCTCAAACTTTGCCCTCGTTCATTGTATTCCATGTCAAGGAGTTTAGATTATTTAGGAGATTACTTTGTCAGCCTGTCGGGATTGGCTGGCTGGCTGGCTTCCATTTTAGGCTGACGTATATCCTGTCATAAACATCTAGCAAATTTCTTAGATTGAGAATCAGAGAGTTATCCAGTATATTTTTTGGGTCTTGTAGTCTTTGCATTCTTTGCCAGATAACTGTTAATCTCGGAGTAGATAAGAAATTGTTAGCACTCTGCACATCTTGTTTCTGCTTACAATTTTTCATCAGCACTTTTCTAGCTTCGTCTGCCTTTTCCCAGTTATGTCTACTAAAACCAAGCACTAAAGATAGGTGTTTCTGGGGTATTTGTCTTTGTTCCCATTACAGTATAGTGCGTGCTAATTTTTTTTTTTTAGATTTGAGATAGTGACTAAATTATTCTCTGGTACATTCTAGTGCAGATTTAATTATCTGAACTTTCTTGTCAGTTGCTGTCTGATGTTTTGTGAGGTCTTTTCTTTTGCTCTCATGCTGTTTTCATTTTTTATGGCTCTTCAGGGCTGTTGTTGAAAAATACCTGCTTGAAAAATCTCGTCTGGTTTCTCAAGAAAAGGATGAAAGGTAAGAGATTAGTACAGTTTACTAACACAAGCTTAATCAATGCAAGAGTTTAAGAACCTTTAAAGTATACAGAATAAAAGAAAAACCATTATATTTTCATGAAAGAGAAATGTATTGACTTTTTAGGAACTACCATGTCTTTTATTATTTGCTACTTGGAGTCAATGAGGAAGAGAGTAAAGAATTTCACCTCAAGCAACCCGAAGATTATTTCTACCTCAATCAGGTAACCCGTGACAGGGATTTACAAATGCATTGATAAATGTTGTCTGTCTCTTGTGTTAAAGTTGAAAGAGTATACTTGTTTTCTTGTGATGCTTGGGCTTCGTTCTTTGCCTCTAATTATGGATGTCTCTTCACAGCATAACTTGAAAATTGAAGACGGGGAAGATCTCCGACATGACTTTGAAAGATTAAAACAAGCCATGGAGATGGTTGGCTTCCTTTCAGCAACAAAAAAACAGTAAGTAGAATCCTTATAGCTTTTGTTACTGAGAGCTAGTTAATGTTTATGAATTGTGATAACCTGTATATGTGTTGGGATCACATTTAGTCTGGTAGGAAGCCAGGAGAGCTGAGTATTTTGAGGGCTTATGGACAAATTCTTGAAGTAGAATGAAGTTCCTAACCTGTTATAATGACCTTATAAGACAAAATCTTATAAAATTCAATTTTTCTTCCTTAGGATTTTTTCAATACTTTCAGCTATTCTTTATTTGGGCAACGTTACATACAAGAAGAAAGCTACAGGTCGTGATGAAGGGTTGGAAGTAGGACCTCCGGAAGTCTTGGACATTCTTTCCCAGCTTTTGAAAGTAGAGTATTTCTCTTTAGCTCTAATGTTTGATCGATCTTTTTGTCATGCTCCACCTTAGCAGTTTACGTGAATATCTAGTTGCTCAGTTTGCTATATTTAGATCTGGTTTACAGTACTTCCACAATATTTATCTTAGTGGAGGGGAAATGGATAAAATTGGTGAAATTATTTGGATTAGTAGTGGAATATAGCCCACAGCATGGAAGTAGAATTTGTTTACTCAGTAATCGTAGAGCTGAGAAAGAATAAATTCAGTAGAGATGTGTTCTTTGCCACCATAAGGAATCCTCTGAATTAATCTAAGCTGAGAATAATTTAAAGAAGTTGAAGAACTTGTAAAGCTATTGATGAATGATAAATGTAGCTGTTGTCAGAGCGCTTGGGCTTCTCTGAGGTGATTGTAATGTCCACTGTTGCTATCAGATTACTCATTGGGGAGTGCGAGGGTGACAGTAACTCTTGTTCTTGCTTGTTTTGAAGGTTAAACGAGAAATTCTAGTAGAAGTGCTAACAAAAAGAAAAACTGTGACAGCCAACGATAAACTTATTTTGCCATATAGTCTCAATGAGGTGAGTAAAAGAACACTAAGAATTATTTTAAATAACTGAAACATCCTTTTTTAGATAAAAAAAAAAAGCTAATGTGGTACTCCCTCACATTTAGTGAGAGATGTTTGGAAAGTTAGAAGTAAGTATTGAAGGAAAATTTTGTTTTTATTTGTCTCTGGTAAGATTGTAACCTTTGAGTGACACTGGTCTGAAATAAAAATGTTTTTTTAAAGTTCTGAACATTGTTTCTTCTGCAGGCAATAACAGCTCGTGATTCAATGGCAAAGTCCTTATACAGTGCTCTGTTTGATTGGATTGTTCTGCGAATCAATCACGCTCTCCTTAATAAGAAGGACATGGAGGAATCTGTTACAGTAAGTTTCTCACAAAAACAAGTCTCTGTAGACAGTTGTGTATTTAGAGCTAACAGACAATGCTATAGATGACATGTTCAGATATCTGGGATAAGTTTTGATTCTTCTAAGTCCATAGTAAATTTCTTGGTAATATTTAATGGTCTCTGTTTTCACAGTAGACATAACTGTTAAATATTTGAAATCTATTAGCACACACTACAGTGCTCTTTGCAGGGTTAGCTGTTGGGGGTTAAGGCGCTGTATGACAGATTGCTTAACTAGATTTCCACATCTTTCTTTTAGTGTTTGTCCATTGGTGTACTTGATATTTTTGGATTTGAAGACTTTGAAACCAACAGTTTTGAACAGTTCTGTATAAATTATGCTAATGAGCAGCTTCAGTATTATTTCAATCAGCACATTTTCAAATTGGAACAGGTAAGAAACTAGAGTTGCTGAAACAAACTTTTTTTATCAAGTGCCTATATATTATGCAAACTTAGCCACTATTCTACAAAACCCCACAGCATAACTCTTATAATTGCTTGAATTTATTTCCAAAAGTCTTGGTTTTTTTAATTTCTTGTTTCATTATTGCTTGAAGGTTGTAGCTTTGCTGTATTTATATTTATATACTAATGATAGCAGAGCCTTTCTTTAGAGTGTTAGCATTATGTTTCTGCTTGACTGCAAGAAACTAAAAAGATGTTCAGGCAGATCCGAGAGAGAAGTCAGATGAAACCGTAAACTTGGAGATTAAAAGTCTGTAGGTGAGGTGTTTGTTTCAGGGTTTTTTTTAATAGTGAGATTTTTGGTTTATTTTAATGGTTGGGAAATAGTTTCTCTTATTTTTGTCAGTTTGTAAATATTTAATAACCAGTCTTTTGTTGTTTCTTCCACCTGACTGCATTTAGGGAATACAACTGTATGTTGATATTGGCAGTAGTTCTGAAATCCTGATATTACTGGCATATGTTGATTTACTTGTTTGCAGATGGTATCATCTTACAGAGCGCTTTGGGTGCTGCAAGAGCTAACAGATCCTGTTTCTAGACTGAGGTTTGAGGGGTATTTTGCTCTAGAGTTGGATTTTTTTTCTGGTTTGTGCTGAAGCCTTATTCTCAGGTCACTCTGCTGAAAGAAAGAAGTCATTCTGTAGTATGTGGTATTTTGTCAACAACATGTAGATAACTTTAAACAAGCATTTTGAAGAGAAGAAAATTACCAAACATACAAACTTCATATGTAAACATCATGTTGATGTCCCTGTTTTGCAACTTACGACAGAAGTGGCTATCCAGGCTAACTAGAGTAAATAGTTACATTGTTTTCTTTTTTTCTAATGCCATTTTTCCAAATAAGCTTAATCCTTGAATGACCCATTTCCTGTATCTCTTGCAGCATGAGGGCCCTTAGGGGGGATCTCTATATCTTTTTAAAGAAAGGCTTTTTTGTCCGTGGAAAATGGCATTTCAGTTCTGTAATGTGGCATGCACACTGAGCAGTCTGTCGTTAGGCAGACTGAATGCTACCTACTTAAAAATAATCCATTTCTTGTTGTGGTCATATAGAACAGTGAGAGGTGCTCTTTGTCTGTTGTTAAACGTAAAACTTTAGTTAATTTTCTGTGTGATATCTTTTTTTACATTATTACCTTATCGTTAGGGTTTTTTCTGTGGCCATTTGCAGCATTAAGAAAAAACGATATTTTGGTCCCATATCTTAATGGGAAGCTTTTCCTGTCAAGCATTTGATGCGTTGTCATTTCAGCAGAAGAGCTTTGTGTTCTGTTGTCAGAGAGCTCCGTATTTTCTGAACCTAAGTGATATACGTTGCTTCCTTAGGGAAGTTCTGGTGTTGATGTTGTGTAGGGCCTAACTGCCTGTTTTGAAACTTCTCTTCTTTCGTCTGACAGTGCAATTTGGAAATTCTGGAACTTGATGTTAAATATATTTGTTTTTTCTCATAATGCAAGCACTATGGAAGAGGAAAATAGACTTAAATTCCTCCAATATATGTCTACCTCGGGTTTTAATGTAATGATGTAGATGTAATATCTAACTCCAACTTCATAGACTGCTGATTGCTGGGAAGGCACAGCAAAACATTCTTTTCACTGTTTTGGTTTTTAAATAGTTTTACCCCAAGCATCCGCTGTTGAGTGACTTGCCTAGGTGGACCTTTGATCTGACCCAATATGCCTGCTGTTCTGTTCGTATTTATAAATTTTCCTTATTTTTGTTTCTGCTGCCTGAACTAACAAACTCAACTTGCCATAGCTGTTCAAGGATGTCTTTTAAGCGCTTAGACCACAGGACATTAAAGGTCAGGGCACTGTACTGATGAGGGAATTTTCTTGAGCTACACAGGAGGAATATAAGAGTGAAGGGATCACTTGGCACAATATTGACTATACTGATAATGTGGCCTGCATTCACTTAATCAGCAAGAAGCCCACTGGCCTCTTCTATCTTCTGGATGAAGAAAGCAAGTAAGCAACAAACGTCTTCTGAAAAAAATGTGTGGCAGGGAGGAGGGAAGGACTGTGGAAGGGAGCAGAGAAACAGCACTTTTGAAAGGCGAGGAATGTTGTGGGAAGCAAAGGGTCATCTTACGGCTACAGTCTACGTTCTAGTTTGCTTCTAATGACTCCAATATGTTGATGATATAAATTGATGCTAAAATTGAACTTTGGCTTAAGCAGTCTTAAAAACTTTCACTTTTTCACTTTCGTGTTTTACCATGGAATTATAATTAAAGTAAAATGCATGTATGTAAGTCTTTGGAACATTAAGTAGCAAACGTGGTAAATTGTTAATATGCTGCTAATTAAACTTCACTGCTGAAGTGGGAGGAAGCGTTGACATACACTTAAAACCTCAGAATATTCTGCTCTGTGGAGCTCTGGTTTTGGTCCAGAAATTTAGCCCACCTCTAATACTCAAACCAGGTGTGTAAGTCTCAATTAAAGTGTAGATAGCTTGGTCAATAAAATATATTCCACAAGGATCAATAGATGTTCTTCAGTCTGTCACCTTGCACCTCAATAAACATACCTGTATTTGGAGAAAAATAACTGACCTTTTGTTTTGTATTCCTAGCTTTCCCCATGCCACCAACCAAACTCTGCTTGCAAAATTCAAACAGCAGCATGAGGAGAACAAGTTTTTTGTTGGAACCCCGGTGATGGAGCCTGCTTTTATTATTCGACACTTTGCTGGCAAAGTTAAATACCAGATAAAAGTAGGTGCTAGATCTGATGGCCACACAAAAAAAGTTCTTTACCTTTCTGATAGTTTTTTTTTTTTTTTTTGGGGTGTAGAAAATTTGCTGGGAACGGGCTGGGTCAGATGTGTCCTCAGATATACATTAGATTTTTTGTGTTGTTTTTGTGGTGGCCTGGACTTGAGGATAATGCTTACTATAGTGAGAATTATTTAGAGTAATGAATTATTCTGAGTAGTGATTAATATCAAAATGCAGCTTTCCTGAGAGCTTGTGGTTCAATGTTCGTGTTTTGCAGGATTTCAGAGAGAAAAATATGGATTACATGAGACCTGATATTGTTGCTTTACTACGAAGCAGTGACAGTGCTTATGTTCGGGAGCTGATAGGAATGGACCCTGTAGCTGTGTTCCGCTGGGCAGTTCTGCGGGCAGCTATTCGAGCAATGGCTGTCTTTGCAGAAGCGGGACGCCAAAGAGCTCAGAAGACTGCAGGTATGGTTTGAAATAATGGAAACGCTTGCAAATGCTCTACTATCGGTTTGTGCTTGTTGACAGAAACAGTATATGGCAAAACTGACTTGTGGAAATGGCTTAACATTCACACTCTAAAGAGATTGTCACTGTTTTATCTAAGATCATTCAGACTTCCTCTTCCAATAAGTGCACCTTTCCAGCACGCTGTGCCGAATTTAAAGTTCCATTTGTAGAAGTTGGGGAAGATATTACTAGTTCTAGTATGCATGCTCATCTTATTACTGGGTTTGATCATCTTGGACCTCCCTGAAGCTTCAAATGAGTATTCAGGATTAAATACTAATTTTGATAAGCTTTTCTGAGCAGCTGCAATTTACTTTCCAGTTGTAGGGAGTTTGAGAAACAAAGTGGCTTCGCTTTATTGCTAGGCAAAACCTCCAAGCGATAGTTTGCTTGTTACAGTTGGTGGGGGTATTTTTGTCTGTTATGCTCATATCTTTGTCAAAATTCAACCTGTTGATTATTTCATAACAGGAGTGGTACGTCAAGGACCCAGAGTTCCCCTTGGAGAACTCCAGAGATCAAATACACCAGTAGAAAAAGTTTATCGGTGAGAAACACATACTTAACCCATATCAGGGAAAAGACCCGAATTGCTGAGTTGCATTTTCATATATCAAATGTCAACTAGATCTTTCCACAAGGATAGCAAGTTTTATTTCTTCTGTCTTGTTTTGCTTGGCCCTTTTAATACTATCAAAACAATTCCCTAGTTTATTTTATGTAAGGCCCAGCACTACCAAATGTTAGGGACACAACCTCAGTTCCATTTACCCGTAACTGGCTGTTCTCTGTCTGTATATGTTGCTTGTAGCATTGTGTGTTCCTCTGCAGCCAGTCTGTGTCACTGAAGGACCTGTAGGAGCACTGATGTTTTTGCAGCCTCCTGACATGATTAGGAGGCAGGGCAAGTCCTACAGAACTGCCTCCACACATTGCTCTGTATAGGCATATTTGCCTTTCTATGGAGTATTTAGGTTTTATGCATGTTCCTTTTGCAGCTGCTCAATGCTTGATTTCTCATTTGATTGTTCTGAGGATTTCGATATAAATGCTTTTGAAGACATCATTTCTTTTTATGAAAACAAGAAGTAAGTAGAAATAGGCCTGCACTTAAAGGCCAGGGAGGCACATTCCTAGACAGACTGACCTTCTGAGCATGCTCTGTGTAAAAGTGAAGTACACACAAAGTAGTGACTTCGTGCTGCTTCGTAATTACTTCATCCTGGACAGTTTCTGTCACCTGTGGCAACTAAGAACTAAAGGTACAATTTGGGTGAAAGAATTGGTCATAGTGTCACATACCTGTTTCCATGTGAGATCTTAAAACAAAATCTTGATATTCAAAACAGTTCAGAGGTAGCAAGGGAAGCAAGCAGCTCTCTGTAATAATGTTGCTGCCTCGGTGAGCAGCTCAGAATGGTGATAGCATCTAACAGTCAGAAGTGAATACTTACGCTTCTGTTATTTTTTTGGTTTGTGCCTCTCTGGAGAGTAAAGAAGGTAAGTTCTGTGCCAAGACACAACACTTCACAAGCATGGTGCATGCTTAAAATAATGGGATCTGCCACAAATTAGGGACTATCCCAGGCTTACTTTGAAAAGCTAGACATGTGAATAAGTTTGAAATGGAAATGAAAACCAAAATTTCATCAAGTATTCCTGTAATAGCTAGTTTTTAACTTACTCTTCTGATGTAAGTCTGCTTAAGCAGCCTCATTTTAGTAGTCAGTTCTATATAAAAAAATATTTACTGCTTGATTATAAAAAGCTTATATCTTTCTGAAAAGGCTACTTAGCTTAACAAAAAGGTTCCTTGCATATTAAGTACATTTTGCTAAATTTCACTCTGTTTTCTGAATTGATGGCTCAAAAATTTACATTAAAAGATAGAATTAGAGTGTCAGTTTAGTATGAGACCCTGGTAATTAAATTTTAGGGCCCTGACAGAGTAGAAAGGGCTGACGACATCAGAATCATTCATACTTAGGAAAAAGTAGTCTGGGATTGACCTGCTACTGTTTGGAGCTCACTGGTGATGGGATCTCTTGAGTTTTTAACTCCTCTTTTTTCCCCGCCTCTCTCATGGCTGTGTATCTTTGTTTGCCATCTTTGTTTTGCTGTGAATCATTTTAGAGACATGTATGAACAAATCATCGCAAGTATAAAAGGACTTCCATGGCAGGGTGATGATCCCTGTAAGCTGCTTCGGTCACTCAGTCGACTTCAACACCGCTCCCACTTCATGTGAGTTCTGGTGCTCTAGGTATTGCTTTGAAAGTGCAACAATAACCAAGCAGTTATTCTAGTCCATAAAAAAGATACTTGTCCCTCGTTTGTCTTCTGCAAAATACTAAACAAGACAATTAAGAATAAAATAATTCCTTCTAAAAAATACAAAGGCTGTAGAGAATGCTTTGTTGCTTCATTGCATTAGCTGAAAGTTAAACCTAGTTTTCATGTAAACTTGCCTTAAAACCCAAGTAGTACAAGCTTGTTGTTGCAAAACTTTCAGCAATGAAATCTCTCACAAGTTACAGCTAGTGGTTTCCTGAAATTCAGGATGCCAATGCCCTGTGAACCCAATTCCTGGGTTAAGACTCTTCACGTGTACACAGCTATGCATGTGTAAGGAAATCAATCTGTGGTCCATTGTATAATAAATAAGTGTAAACTGGGCGGCATGGAGTTGGAACATGCCTTACATCACGGAGTTGACGTGTATAATTAGGAGGATGTGAGCTACAGCCTTGTTTCTGAGAGCTTCCCTTTCTAGTTCACTGTCTGTGTGTGGATGAGAGCTAAGCCTGAGGCTTGTGTAGGGCCCCAGGAGGTTCTGGGGATGATCTCAGATGTATCAGAGTTCGTAAGTGGAGTGCTGGGGCATGTGTTGTCCTTCTGTGAGCAGTTAAGTACTTTCACAGGGGTTCTGGTGCAAGCAGCAATAACTTCTGGATCAAGTACTTTTGATAGTGATATTACGATGAGAGTTCAATGACTGTACAGTTAGCTAAATAAAATAACTTGCACAAAAGTACTCTATGCAACAGGGCAGATTTTAATAGCTTTAACTTCAGAGAAAATGTTTCACTTTTGAAAGCTTCCAATACCTACAGAGTTTATTAAAAAAAAAAAATAAATATTCTTGTTGCGAAGCAGTTTGCATTTCTTGCATTGATCACTTTAAGAGATGTGCATGAACACACCCTGATGCTATTGTGCTAATTTTCTTCTATCCTTTATCTCGCCTCGTAAATTGCACCAACTTATGGCTTGCTGAAATAACCAAAAATCATGTGTATTTTTTTCTTAAATGATCTTTAATATTTTAACAGGAAGAGTAGAGGTATCAAACAAAAGCAGATCATTCCCAAGGTAAAGTTATTCAGTAAATTTAGATTTCTCTTGATGTCTTTTTTTTGGGTTTTTTTTTCCACTGTAAACATTCATTTTGATTGACAGAACTCACTTCAGAAAATACTGTTTCATAGTGTAGCGAAGTTGTATTGTTTATTGTCTAAAACTTCCTTTTTTACAATCTAAAGGATAGGTAACTGTTCACCATTATAAGAATTGCTGAACAGGAAACAATTGTTCGTTGGCATCTGTTTAATTAGACTAGAAATGCCATAAACACATAAAGCCATTTCTGATCAAGTCATTGAAGGCAAACAGTGATTATGTAATTCACCTTGTTTACCATACGTTCTTGGGATGGGGCAATAGAA